AATTCCTTCTCTTTATCTTTGTTGTAGTTGTTTACAGTCATGTTTTGATTTGCATATTGCAAATTGAAGGAAATTATTTTAATATGTCAAACTCTTAGACAATGTGCACATTTTCTAAAATGTTAAGTCCTTGATAAAAACAAGTTTTACAAATTGAAGAATTCCATTTTAAGATGCAAAATATAATTTGTTTAATGCTGCAGCAGTTATACAGATACAAAATTGTTCTTAGAGGTGTCTGCCCCCGAGAATTCTCCTACTAATACTTTCTTTGCAATCATGAAATTTAGAGCAATCTTAGACTCTTTCTTAGTGTCTTTTACTAATCAAATGCAGAAGTTGATAAATGTTCAAATCCTCACTTCACTTTGAGTCTACTTAATGCTAATTAAAAAGAATTGTGAGAAATAGAGGATTAGTTCTTGTGCCAGATTGGGGATTATTTGTCTTAAAAAGAAATAGCTTGGAAAGGTTCACTGTTCAATAAATACGTGACATACTGAAGTACCTTAGTCCATATGATACTGATTACAGCATAAGTGGGTTTTTTTAGATGGCATATATCTTTCCATTTAGAATGCTGGATTTACAGAATCTGCCAATAACCATTCCAGCATTTGGTTTAAACTCTGGAAAATTGATAGGGGGAATTCCATGTCTAGGTTCTGCATGGTCAGACACTGCAGATCTTGTTGCAGCATTGCTACAACAATTTAAGGTGGAAGGATTTAAGGTGGAAGGAGAAAGGAGATTGAATTCACTTTTCCATCAGGATTGTTCTTAAAAAAATTACTGTTGTGATGTGAAAAGCTGAAATGTAATTCTTGAAAGTTAGTTTTCTAACTTTGTTAATAGAATTATTACCACTATTTTAGTATGCTTCATGGATTTCAAAATAATCTCAAATCTTGTAGTTAAGGTTTTCTCATGACTGTTCTTAGGAGACTTGAAATTAATCATTGAACAGATTTGTACTCAGTGTTCTGTAGTTTTTTAGTATCTTGGAATAGGTCCTTTAAAAATTATCTTATATTTTGAAATGTGAGATTTTACTAAACAAAGTAAAACATAATAAAACATATGAATTGGCCTGGTTGTCTTTTATCAGCTGATGCTAAGGCAGGTAATAAATCAGATGTGTGAAATAAATGCTAAGTAAATTGGCGGGAGTCTGCCTTTCCTTATAAAATAACTATATTTTGTCTGGTAAATTGGTTTTTACAGTTGGCAGTGGTTCTGTGCAATAAAACATTTTCTTTAATTTGATGCAAATGAAGAAAATTTGATGCTGTCTGTAAATTGTCGTTAGTTGTGCCACTTCCCTCAGGATGCTCAGTAAGCATACTGAGTGTGAGCCCCAGCTCACCGAGAGGGAAGCTGATACACACAAGGAGCTAGGTAGGGGGCTCAGGGACAATTTAAATCAGAGTAATAATTAAAAGTTTACAGCACACAAAATGGCCCATGTCCTGATTTTAGTTCAGACCTTTTCAGGTATGTTTTTCTTATAGCATTGATTACTGGAGTCCTATTGAATTCCAGTTTTTATTTTAAAAAACCCACCTAACTCACAGTCTTCATGAGTCAAAGAAAAGCTAGAAGGTCAGATGGGAGAGTAGTCTGTGAATACAGGTAAAAGCAATAGTAGTTTGTTTTAATATCTTTATTTTTTAGTCTGTCTTATCACTGGTAGGAATCACATTATCACTGCTAGGAATCGATTTTATACTGAGCACCTATCTGTATGTCTCTTGGCAATGCATTCAGAATATGTGTGTTACAATTTTATTCATGCGATTAAAAAATGTTAGTAATTATTTTAAAACCCTCCCTACATCCTCATTGTCTGCTTCCAGCAGTTTTAAAGAGACTTTCAAAAATTCTATGCTACTACACATTTTGTTCATCCTTTGAATGTCAGCACTGTTTTGAGTGTCTGAGCCTCTTTTTTATGAACTAAGAGTTCTCTGTAAATAAACTGACTTATCCTAGCATTTTTGAAGGTTTATTTGTGGGTGCAGAAAGTGCAGATTTCAAGCCCAGATGCTGCTTTATTTTTAGTGATAAGGAAGGTGGATAAAAAAGGAAGTTTTAAATTCAACCTTTATCAAATAGAAACCGAGAAGTGTAATTTTGAAGAAATATTGTGGAACCTGGTGCAGTTTAGAAGCAAGTAAATCTTTTCAAATGTATATGTAACTCATTTTACTGCTAAGTGCTGCCATTAGAACGTGTTAATTATGTTGAATCCTTTTATGCTTATCATTTGATTGCATTAGATAATGTGCTTATTGTAGGTAAACATCAATTTATATTTGGGACTAGAAATAGTTGTAGCTGTATAAATTCATGTCTTGAGGTTACAGTGATTTACGTTATTTGGGGGTTATTTGGGAGTGCTGTGGTTAAAAAATAAAGCAACCATGGACAAAATGTATTTCCAGACTTTTGGAGGACTTACTTGCATGTGATTGAAGGAGTTGCATTAGTAAACAAAAAAGGAGGATGTCTTATGCAGACTGTTCCTGTTTGCTATTGCAAATTAAGTTGTCAGGTGCATTGCTTGATTTTTTTTATATCAAACAGATTATTTCAGTTCTCAAGCAGTTGAGTTTTGATCAGTTCAGTCTCTTGATTTTTTTTCTTTAAATTTTGAAAATAACAGCTGAATTTGTAATTTTTTTTAAACCTATGTTTTAAAGTAGATAGTCTGTCACCTGCAAAAAAACTTCTTTGTCAGCTGTAATTGCATGATACGCTCTTTTGACTGTGCACACTGTTATCCCTGTTTGCCCTTTTTTCATGTTTCGGGCTCAGGGGGCAGGTCACTGGGCTGTGTATAATATTAGCCTTGGGTAGTGAATTTCACACTGGCTTGGGGTTCCCACCATGACAAGGGTAGTGACCTGTGTTACAAAATGCTGTGAGACCTCTTCATAAGATGTGATAGAAAGTAGTGGTTTTGGTTTTTTGTTTTGTGTTGGTTTGTGGTTTGTTTTTGTTTGTTTGTTTAATAGTAGTAGCAGTATGATAAGCATGGGGGATTATTTTTATATTTAAAATAATAAGTTTAATTACACTGTTGTCTTTATTTTAAAAACTCAAAAATAAAATAAACAGCATGTATCGTTGTTATAGTGATAAATGTGGTCAGCAGTTAAAATTCCCACAGTAATTTATGGCTTTTTGCCAAATACCTCCCAGTAAAAGTCGAATGATGAATCGTAACTTCACAGGTTGCAGTTTGACAAAGAGGCAGTGGAAAGCAAAATGACTGTGGGTAAACCCAGCGCGCTGCCTGTGTCCTAATTTGTCTCTTGATCATTCAGATGAATTTTTTCTCTGCCTGTGCCTTGTGTTTAAGCAGAAGAGTGAAATATTTTTTCCTCACTTGAGGCATTTTCACTGAATTTTCATCGATTTTGTGTTTGTGTGGGAGGTGAAGGGGATGAACTCAAAGGAGAGAATAAACCTACAGTTAGTGTTAAAAGCCCTTCTAGCTGTGCTGTTTTGGTGGCTTGAACTAGTTTACTGAAATGCTGCACTCTCCTCTTCTTCCGGAACAGTTATGCTTAAAATACTGTAAAAATACAAGAACTCTTCCATAGTATATGTGACTGTGATCTTAAGAAGGTACATAACGAAGAAACTAATTTCAGAACTACCTTAAATTCAACAATTAAAATCATTTAAGATTTTGTTGAAGAGTTGTCCATTCCTGTGCTGTCAAGGCTTGTGTAAGGTGATACCCAACTGTATAATCTCTTTATAAGATGTGAAATAGGATGAGAGCTATGAGCAGAATAAGAAGCGAGACTTTGTTACTGAAAAGTAGAGAGGGTTTGGTTTTTTTTTTCATTAATATTATCTCATGTAGAAATTACATATAAGTGTGTGTGTGTGTGTACGTGCAGAAACACCATGCACACCAGACTGCCTGTCTTCTTGTGTCTGACTTCAGCAGTTGTGATCACCCAGGAGAACAGGGTTTGGAGGCAAGGCAGGGGGCTGATGGCATTTCTTCTTTGAAGCATGTTATGCTGGAATTTGGTTTTACTTTCATTCAGTCAGATTCCTGATCTGATGACTTTCAGGCTGGCTGAGGTGTAGTGCTGTTTGCTCCAACCTCTGTCAGACTGCTGGGAAGATGTCTGTTGTTTTGAATTACACCTCAAGTGTATCTTGATTCACAACTCCTAGAGGTCTGAAAACTGCTTTTGGAGAACTGGAACCAACATACTTCAGAAACTGGAATATTGGATTGCAGCGCAGAATAATAAACTATTAAAATTTTGTGTATGTTTCTCCTAGTGGTTTGTAACAACTTTTATGGAGTTCAAAATTTAAATACATTATAATCTTATAACTTGTTTTTATATTGTTTATGTTGAAATATATTTTCCACCTGCATATTGAAGTACTGCTCAGTTTTGCCATTGAAATGACTATTGTATTCCCTTTACATTAAAGAGCCTACTTTGTGCTCCAAGCATGATGAGAAATTTATGAAATAGGTGTGTATTCAACACTAATTAAAGGTAGTGCATTCAGCACTCCAATAAAATCTTAAAAAATGGCTGAAAGCCATATTTATACAGTGGCAACCAAGATGCATCTGTGGGATTCTCTAAGGCTCAGTCACCATCTCTCCCCTGTAGTTGTGGATCTTGTGAATGACAAGGTGGGGGTCTTTGGAATGGCTGAAGATTAGCATCCCCTGCTGTTTTGTAATTATCAGAATCTGGACAGTCATTTATTTGAATGGAATAATGCATACAGTTTGTGCCTCCAAAGAAAAGCATACATAATGTGATTGTAAGAAGAGGTTTTCAATCTCTCAGTGGGATGTCATAGGGTATGTTTATAAACTTCAACCTAGCAGTTGCTCTGCAGTGGAATTCCACTGGTATTGAGATAATAATTTGCACAGTCAAATTGCTTTCTTTACAAAAACCCAGGGAATTATGAGACCCTAATCCTTTATTAATGTCAACCCATAGGCAGCAAGAAAGCGTAAGATTGCCATTCGAAAAGCCCAGGGAAAAAATCTTGAGGCCATCCGAGAGCTGAATGAGTATCTGGAACAGTGAGTGTCTTACAAGAATACAGATTGTGTTTTGCTATTCTGATAAATCTTTTTAATTAAAATGGAATTTGCATTTGATTTACGCTTTTGCTTCCATGCTGGTCATTTACAGAATCCCTTACACATTCTTTCTTTTTTTCTTTTTTACCTCTCTTGTCTTGTCTGTACAGATTTGTTGGAGACCAAGAAGCTTGGCATGAACTTGCAGAACTTTACATCAATGAACATGAGTAAGTTGTTTGCTAAGTCCACATAAAAACTGTTAAATTGAAACCTACTTTGTGTAAGTCAAAGACCTCAGTGATTTTTTTTTTTTTTTGAAGGACTAGTGTAAGAAAATATGTTGTCTCATTTCTAGTCTAACAAGCATCAACAGGAAATAATTACCAACCTTATTTAACTACTAAATGCTTTAAGAAGGCATTTGGTTTTAAAACAGAAATAGGTTACTCAATTACCTGTATGTTTCAGTCATTTTTTTTATGTCCAGTGTTTTAAAATAAGTGGTTTGGGTGTAGCAGGGAACAGCACTTATTTCCCATAATTTTTAATTCAGGTGATGTTTTTATTAGTCATAGATTTTAAATTTTTTACTTCTAAAATCAATCAATCACAGCAATGATACTCTGATTTTCTTTTAGCCTGCCTCTGCAAGAACTTTTAGTAACCTTTAAAAACAAAACAAAACAAAATGTGGATCCAGAGTCAGAGGCATCTGGTCGCCTGGGTACAAAACCCAATGCGATCAAGAATGCTGAATGTTGTAGTAACTTGCTTATTGGATATTTAATGTTTTTGTTAGCTTTTTTTTATTGCTGTAGTGACAGCAGGAAATCCCAGTGTGAAAGGATTAGCTCAAAGCCTTAGTGCAAGTTTTCTAATATCACAGCATTAATTCTAACCTCCACCCAAAGGCGTATCTTTTTTCCCCCCCCCTTCTTTAGTTCTTCAGCCCAGCCTGAATTATATCACATTGTTTCATTCTTTCTTTTCTAGAGGGTAGTAAAAAAATCAAAATTCTCAAGGAAGAAATAGCCATTCTCACTGTGATGAAAAAATTGTTCCCCCATCACCTCTCCTTCCACCTTGTTCTCAAAGAAAATGATTATTAAACTCTTTCAAATACTGACATAAGGAATAATCTAGAATTTTCATCTCCTAATTTCCATTTGTTTTGGGAAATTCATCAACTCCTTTTCCAAGAAAATAGCTTCTTTTAATGGTTAGAAAGATATTTAAACTTGTCAAATCTGTCAGTACAAAAGTGAATGATAGAGTGGTGCAAACATATGTATTCCATTACTGGTTTTGGTGGGGTTTGTTTGGGTTTTTTGGGGTTTTTTTGCTATAATCTTTAGTACAAAATTGTGTAATAAAACCTGAGAAAGAAATTGCTTTTGCTTGTATTTGTCTTGGTCTGTCATTCCAATAAAATATAGTATGTAGAACTTTCTCCAGTTCATTGAAAAAATTTACTTTCTCACTGAACTTTTATGAGCATCATTATTATTATTATTTTGATGATTAAATGGGGAAAAATTGGATTCTTGGCTAAAAAGCAACTAAAAGTTAATTTAAAAAAAACCCAACCAGCTTATTTGTTTTATCAGTATCACAAATTTAGTCTCACTTGTGAAATAACAATGCTGCTACCGTTGTTCATAAACACACTTAGATGTACAATGTTTATATAGTCCTCAGTTCTACCCTGTGTTCCGCTATGAGGCTTCTGCTTTTGGAGAATGGGATGACTATCCTTTTATCTCCAAATTAATATTTGAAATACATACACAACTGTCATAATGTGCACAGGAGAAAACAACAATATATTCATTTTAAGAAACAAGGTTTTATAGATTATATGGTTTAATACTGTCTCATGATTACTAAATTGCTTTTACTCTGATATTAACTATCTGCCTACGCTGTCATTGTAAACATTTTGGAATCCTATAATGTAAACTGTGTGCAACAGTGTTGTCATGTATCTGTGGAAGATGTAAATTTTGCAGGAAACTCTTAGTTGAAAGATTATGAAGATAAGATTTTTATGATTAAATAAACCTACATTTTGAGCTTGACTTTTTAATTCTTTCTGAAAGCTTTCATTTAAAGAACAAGTACTAGCCTTTTCTTTTGCAGTGATAAATTGTTGCCCATTTGGACTGGGATGATGCTATTTTCATATATAGATTTAAACCGTTTGATTTTTAGAACTGTTAGTATGTTTTTTTGGTCTCACTTCTGTGGTTGACTGTGAGCAGTCTGACTATGTAAGTGCTCTGGTCTATAACTTGGTTTGTGAATCCTCAAGTAGCTGAATTTTCTTGTAGAAAAAAACTAATTATTTTGTAGTCTGAGTTCAGTGTCTTATAGCACCTAATGCCTGTTTCTACTCATCACTCTTATTGATCAGAAATAGCACTTATTAATAAGAAATGAGTAATTAAATGCTTTCCATGAGCTGTTCCATATATACCTAGACTATTAAATTTTGTATATTTTTCACTGTCTGTGATGTAAAAATGGTAACTTGAGGTTTCAAACATCATTTAAAAATAAAACATTTTTCTTAATTGTGAATCACGTGAAGTTATAGGGGAAAAGTAAGACTTCTTTTATTGAGCTATACAGAAACTGAAGCAAAGAACTATATACTCTGTTTCATTTTGTCACTGTTTTTTATATTCTTCAGCTATGCAAAGGCGGCCTTCTGCTTAGAGGAGCTTATGATGACTAATCCACACAACCACTTATACTGTCAGCAATATGCTGAAGTAAGTATTTTCAGAAAAATCAATTGTGTTTGAATACATATTCTGTTTTTATGTTACTGAAGAGGTGACAATGGAATAAAAATAGTTTATTTAATTTTTTCCTAGGAGATTTAAGACAGTACACAGAGAATGTTAACATCTTGTAGAACTTAACACGTTAAGAAAACTGTTTTCTTACTCAGTGTGACTAAGCTAAATATAAGAGTAAGGGCAGGAATTATTGAAGATAAAAATTCATTTTTAATGAGCTATTCTTGTTGAAGTGTTTATGCACTTTTCAGATTAAGTGCATAAGAAGTTAACCTTTTCCACAACAATGCTGCCTAGGAGTTTATCATATATTGCCTGTTATTGTGGAACCATATCTTGGAATCCATGTAGGAAATTTTGCCTGAAAGAGCACTGGGGGCAGATGGGGCCTTTAGAAGTTTTAGCTCAAAGTTTTTAGCCATTTGCACTCTTTCTTCAGATGTTTATTATTTTTTTCCTAAATTACACTGTTAACTGCTTAGAATGGATTTAATTTGCTTTGTTAATGTCGATAAAATTGGAATAACATTAAAACTTTAAATAGCTTTCTGGTAGAAAGACTGTGAAGCATGTCTTCTAGTATTTATCCCTCTTTTTGTTGCTCTAATAACAGGTAAAATGAATAGAAAAACAGTGGAGTAATCTTCTAAACTGTGCACTGTTTTGCAGTTGAATAGGTAATGAAAGGTATTGTGTTGTTTTGTTTACTGGTGTATGCTGTGCTGGAGGAATATAGAGTTAGTATGGATTTACAGCAGTCAGAATTTAACTTTAGATTTAAATTTTGTGTTACTTTTCATAAACCTTTGTCCCAAGGTTTAAGTATGTGTAGGTGCAAAATAATACTTTTTTGTTCTTGTAGCAGTAAATTAATTAAATTAATACTGGCTTTTTTTTCTCCTATAGTTATATATTTTAAAATTTGTATATTGAAAAGAGCTCAAATTTCTCCCAAGCCCTGTTTGGCCTTTGGTAGGACTCACCTGATTTGAAAAATCATGTGAAACAAACCTGAAGTGAAGTTTCATAACATCTTTGTTTCAAGAGTGAATACTTGAGGTATGGATGACATATGCAGGTTTCAGGAGCCTATAATTTTTACAGGTTAAATACACTCAAGGGGGGCTCGAAAACCTTGAGCTATCAAGAAAGTATTTTGCACAAGCACTGAAGCTTAACAACAGAAATATGAGAGCTTTGTTTGGACTTTATATGGTAAGCATGATCATATATTTTCCATCTTATAATTTTGACTGTGTTTTTGTGCATGTATGTTATCCTTTAGTTTGCTGATTTTCTTTTTCTTTTGGTTTAACTAATTGCTCTGATTATTAACACTGTTTTAAAATATTGAGTGTGGACAATTTTATGCTAGCAGATACTCATTACTTGACGTGCTCTTCACTTTTAAGTCTTAAGTCCCATGTTTTCCAAAGAATTACAATCATAGGCATGTGAAAGTAACTTCTTGAAAAAGGATTTAAAGTCATAGTCCTCTCTACATGATGGTGAACTGCTGAAGAAGAGTACCAGCACAGTGTGATGGCTGCTTTTCCCCCCTCCCTTTCTTTTTTTTTTTTTTTTTTTTTTTTTTTTTTAAACCAGCCTGGGTCTTTATTTTTTTCCTCACTCCAATTTCTAAATACAACTTTCTACTTTCTGTATGAAAATGAGTTTTTAGCTTGCACGGCTTTGTTGTCTTGAGTGTAGCCATGACTGCAGTAACTACAGGTAGCATGTACTGACACCAGTTCTGCAGGTTCTCTGAAGATACTGAAGCCTCCATTGAAGATCTTCCTTTATATCTTAGATCTTTTAAAAGATCTTTTTAGGGACAAACCAGAAAGGCTCCCCATATTTATTTATTTATTTGTTTGTTTATTGAAATTATAAGCCACACTTTTGTCTCTTGCGAGGGGGGCGGCCTACAGAGATGCATCAGGGAGATAACTTTGCAGTTTCCTGTAAATACCAGGCAATTAGGCATCACCTTTAATACTCAGAGACCTGGACCTAATCTTCTTAGCCCATCTGCAAAGATTCTTAGGTTGGTGATTGTATGTTGAAAAAGGAGAAAAGACTGGTTCTTGCTGTTCCTTAGATCATTTAGCTTTTCAGGAGTAAGTTTTGTAGCAAATCCGTTTATTGACCTGAACTGATTTTTAAGGTGTGTATACATATAGACTTCTGCATTGATTCTAGAACAAGCCTGGGAGTTTATTATGGCCAATTGTGGCTTGTATAGAGTCTTAGCTGCTTTTAAAGTGTGTTTCCTCATGTCACAGGGAAAAATGTCATGTTTTCAATAGCAGTTTGGACACACAAGTGATGTATTTTATATAATCTCTGGTAACAAATTGAATGGAGAAAACTAATTCATAACTCTCACTTTAGGAAAAGCAAATTGGATTAACTGATCATGTCCAAGTTTGGTTTCTGATTTGGTACACAACTGAACTGGAGTCTTGTTTAGCTTTAATTAGAACAAATAATTGTTTTAAAAGTTTAGCTAATTCTTAATTGGATGCTGTTTACCAGTAACTGTTTTTATTTTTTTCTCTTTTTCTGCTATCACTGTGCGTGTGGCTCTGAATGCAAAGGTGCTGAATGCTCTCAGTTTTTTTCATATACACATATTCTGTAGTTACACTGATTTTATTTTTGTATTCCTAGTCTGCCAGCCATATTGCTTCCAATCCAAAAGCAAGTGCAAAAATGAAAAAAGATAATATGAAATATGCCAGCTGGGCAGCTAACCAAATAAACAGAGCATACCAGGTTAGTGCATCATTATTTTATGACACTCTTAACACATTCTGTAGTTCTTTTCTGCACTTGATTATCAACTGCTGTTCAAGAGGTTAGATCCAACGTGCAAATCAGCATAATGTGCTTGGAATTTGTTGTGTTCTACTTCTGTTTCATTTCTTAAGCCTTAATTAATACAAGGTTAATATTTTACGATTATTAATTACTATTATTTACTTACGAGGTTTAAAGATTTTTTTTTTCCTACTAACTTTAATTGGATGCACACTAGTGTAATCTTGACCTCCAAGACTCGGTTTTACAGCTAAGTATTTTAATAAAACTTGGTATGTCTTAATTCTTAGAGTGACTTGGTCATCTACTTCTGTTTTACTAGAAAAAAAATGAAAATTCTAGAATTTTATTTTCCTTAATTTTATTCTGACTTTCAAAATAATATTTAATGGTGTTCCTAATAATTACCCTAGTAGTTATGACTGAAGTTGGTTTTGCATAGTTTTATAGAAAAATGCCTGTAGAATTGTGAAAATGTAGACTTTGTAGGTCACAATCGAAGCTTACTGAAGTCATTAGGAGTCTTTTCAACTATTTGAAAAGTTATGCATAAACATATATATACACTTTTGTATTGTAGCCTCTACATTTTCCTGTAGCTATGAATTAAAACAGATTTTAGCTCATAGGTTCTGCTGTTCGTGTTTCCCAAACATAGTGTGTAGTTCTCCCCAGAACTTATTTCTGAGCAAAAATGTTGGCATTAAATGCAAAGACTTTATATACATGTAATGCTCCTTTCTGTAGTATTTCAGTATCAGAACTCAATATTTGATTTTTCTTTTGCTATAACTGTTTCACAGTCAAAACTACCAAATGGCCCTTTGACCAGCTCTATCTATTATGGAATTAAATTAGTATTTTTTTTAATGGCCAAAGCAGTTTTCTTCATACACTGTATATGAATTAATTGCCAAGAGTGCAGCTTCTGAGTGCAACTGTGGTTTTGATGTATTATAACTTTGAAGTATTTTCCATTTCCCCTGATTGGCCCTGTAGCTTCTTACTGTACTTTACAGTCAAGAATATTGTTTCCCTGAGGATTAAATTAAGCATTTTACACTTGTATGCTTAAAGTTTGTCTCTATTTTGCTATTTAAATAACTCCTTGCTTTTCATTAATAAACCATTTACCCACTCATGACAGTAAGGTGTGTATTAATTACTTTGTTTCATCTCCCATAAATAAGCAGGATTTCTTTTGATTTCAGTATGTCTTACATTCCTGTAAGTACAATATTGATAGAAAACCCAAGTATTGCAGGATTTTAAGAAAAACAAAAAAAAACCTTGAAAAACTCCCTTGAAGAACAGAATACAGAGTGGATTCAGCATTGATAGAAAAAAACTCGTGTTATGAATGTGTGAATTTTGAGTGAAAACTATTATTCCATGTTTTACCTGTTAATAAAATGAACTGCTTACGTTAGAGGGGTTTTGAAAACATGTGAATATGATGACTGAAATTTCCAGTTCGAAGCACCAGTAGTGACCTGTTACCACTTCTGAGAAACAGCCCCTTTCAGGATGGAAATGTAAAACCATTGTTGGCTGTGGAATGGTGGCATACCAAGATTAAGACCTAGAAATAGGCATCTCCTCGTGCTAAATAAAAAGTTTAATTATGACAGTTTGTAGTTACCTGACTCACAGACAGATAAGCTTGCCTTTTTTCCCCCTTTTTTTTTTTTCCCTACATACAGCTTTCTGTTACCATCATAATATCTCTAACAAAATATGACTTGTATTGGGAGTAGTGGTAGTGTTGAGGGTGTTTCTGGGTGTGTGTGGTTTGTTGTTTGGTGGGGGTTTTTTGGTTTTGTTTGTTTTCTTTTAACTGGAAAGTGCAGTTCTGATGTTTCTGTGAAGCTCTTTTGGACCCTATGTTAAGCATTTTTGGTTGATGCTAACCAGAACAGATCACGTTAACACACATATATTTAAAACACATGTCATACTTCCATCTTTGACTTCATACTTTCATGTTATGTTTTATACTTCAGCTGCTTGTTTTAGCTGTTGGGGACATAGTGATGAACACCGTATCTGACTGGAATCATAGAGAGAATGTAGCTGTACATAAAATATAAGTGCTCAAGCTAGGACTTGGTGAGCAAATGGTGTGAACACTCCCTTCTCCTTCACAGCAGTATCACAAGAAGCTTTAGTGACTACAGCTGGACAGGACTGCCCCAGCCCAACCCTACGGAGCCGCAGAAGGGTTTGGCCACTCCAGTGTGTATGTCAGAGGCTTACAACATCTAACTGCTACAGCAGGTGGTGGTTAGTGATGTAGTATATGGCTGTTTCCTCTGTGAGTCAGTATTGATTTGTTGCTCCCTTAGCGTGTTGAGCGGTTGGAAATTGTCATGTTTTGGACCCACGGGTGAATGTTGGTCAGTTGTGCCAGTGGAAGCCCTTACAGCATTCCTCCATTAGTGGAGGGTTATCTAGCCAGGTTTTAAGCTAGATACTGTAAATCCTCCCCACTTTCCTTGCATTATCCAAAGCGCTTTGTAAAGTGTAATAAGAACCTTAAGAGCTCGTTGAGTTTGGCATGGCTTGTTTTATTAGTTGGGCCTTCTTGTTCTGTTAAATGCAGTTTTTGCTGTGGTCATGTTCTGGAGAATACGATGCATTTAGAGTCCTGACTTGGGTGCCGAGACAAGTTGTATGAATTTTTGACTTTAATATATGAAGTTATTAATTCAAAAAGTTACTTTTGAGCAGTTGTTTTACAGTGATATCTTCCCCATTTTCAGTCTGGATTTGACCTTGAATTGCTAGCAGTTTGCTCAGTAATTTTGGAAAACTGCCTTTATTTTTTTTCAAATTCAGCACTGGCTAGGGTTGCATTTTTTAATTTTATATGCAATTTACTTTAAATATTTTTACTGGTCCCCTCCTTTGGATTTAGTCTCTCATCCAGGCAGTTTGATTTGGCACTTGATTTTTGCTTTTCCTGTGCATTCCTGTATGAAATCAGATGAATGCTTTAGTTTATTGTCATTTAAAGAAAACAATCTTTGGCTGTAAAAAGAAGACCTTACTTTCACTAATGTTGGTTAGACTGTACAGCATCAGTCTTTTTCTTTACAGGAAGATACAGTGATAAAGAATAGTTTAATTAAATAATTATCTGAAGTGTTGATGTTCGATGTTCCATCTGGTTAATGTGCTTATTTTTATGTTAAATATGTAGCCCTCTGTGCTGATTAGTACTTCTCATCTGTGCCTAATCTAGGAGCAATGTAAAACTTTCAAAGGAAGACAGAAAGATTTTGTAGCTAGTGCTGCTTCATGGAGCCGAAATTCCTGGCAGCTAACACAGGCTCTGAAAAAGTTGTTCATTATTCTCTATGCCATTTAAATGTAATTGACTGGGTGAAAAAAACAAACAAACAAACAAACCAAAAAACCCAACTTATTATTTCAGATGTTAGAGAAATACTCATTATTCAAAGAATTATTATAAGTTGTTTATCGTTGGGAAACTGGATTTTTCTCTCTGTGGAGACCCTGTAAAGAGCATGTATCTGTTTTGAATGAGGACATGAGTCACAGTTACTTTAACATCGAAACAAAATATGGCTACCTAGTGCTCTTCAATTAGCTAATTGGTTTAGCATGTTGTCTGGTAGAAGCATTTCAGCAGAGGCACACAAGTTTGATTAATGCTCACAAAAATCTTTAATGTGATCCTACTCATAGTAATTTTCCAGATACATGCTTCTTGGGTACATTGCTAAATTCTCCTGTGTTAGCCATCCACGTGTTATTTATGGTTGGAGAGGTGATTTTGTTACAAACCATTTGGGAAACAGAAAATTAGATCATGATTTTAAGAAACGGATTCCGGCTCAATCAGTCGAATTGCTGTGTGATGGCAGAATAGACAAAATAATTGTTCGTCAGGGCAAATTTGAAGTGATTACATTTCCAAGTATACTTCTGTTTGTTATGACGCAGAGTTTGGTTTTATTTGTTCAGCCTAAAGTACACGTCAGTATCCTGAAGGCAACCGGTCTTGAAATTAGCAAGTAACATTTTTTAAACTAATGTCTTATGTCAGTTTTGTTTTCAGTGTCCCTGAAGAGAAGTAAAATAAGTAAAATTCTTCTTATTTTGAAGCTTTCCTCTGTGTGCTTGCTTTGTGTCTTGCCAAGCGTGCTTTTTGACCACAATATATTCAGGCTCCTGTGCTTTTCGTTGAAATCTCTGAATGCTTTGGGTTGAAACAATTTTTCAGGCAAGGATTTTGAGTTCTGTTTTTTCATTTGCTTGTTTTTATGAAAGGATTTGGACTTCCCCAAGTATCTGCTTGGGACTATTCTTGTTTAGTGTGAACAAAAAGAGGATATTGTATTAAGTCAGATCCAAGCAAAAGTTACTTCTCTCAACTGGGAGAGTGTTAAGAAATCTTTGATTTTCTTGTTGACTGTTGCACTATGGAAACTGCACAACCTGTGGAATATGTTTATACATAACTACTAGAGTCAAAACGTGGGACATCAGTTCATCATCTGGAAATACAAGACATGAAAATATGGGGTTTTCAGTATGTTTCTTTAACTATAAAGTGTTGTCACAATAACATTTCATTCTCCTATTTAATTTGAAATAGCATTTCATTTACTGTGCCAAAACTATTTTTTTTAGAGAACTCGGTACTGATTGGGAATCCCAATGTTAGATTGCAGCTTGGGGGTCAAAAGCAGGTTAACAGGTCCTGCAGCTTGTTGCTGGTGTGATATTACCTGGGTTTGATGACTTAATCTTTCTTAACAGGTCATGAAGAGTTTGCTAAATTAAGTTAATTACAAGAGAGAAGGGACACATTATAAATCTAACTAACTATAAAAGCTAACTATGCAAGACACCAGTGGTATTTGAAATAAAAAACATTAAATTTAAAATTTATTGAGTGTTTAGATGTTAACATTAGGTAGAGAATAGTCTATTTTACTAGCAGCAAGTTACAGTTACTGCTTCTATAATTTCTTTACCACCCCTCCCAACCCCAAATGCAAAACTTTTTAATGCAGGTGTATTAAAAATAGTTGAGAGTTTCATTTGACTGAAGACCAACCTAGTCAATAAATCCGCTGATCTTAGATAGGGCCGATGAGTGATGGGAATCATCAGTACAGTTAGAAAAACCCTTCTGAGGTCAGCATGGGGTGATCAGCATTTACTACCCTTCTACCCCTTCCTTTCCTGAAGTTGGCTGCATGTGTCTTAGGGAATCTAAAGCCATAAGTAGTATTTATTAAGCTCTGTCTTTCTTTGTTATGAAGACAAACTTTATTTCAAATGGTCTCTGAAATTGCTGTTGTAATAGTAGGTTACAATCAAATACAGGGTCATTACTCACAGTTACTTTGAACCATAAAATATAATTATATTATAACTGTATTAGTTTATAGTAGATTTTCTCTGTCTCACTATAACAAAAATAGAAAATATATTAGCTTAAATAACAGGTTCAAGTCTTGCTACTATTTAAATTAGTAATATAACCTAATTTGGATCACATACAAAAATTCAAGTCTGAAATAAAAATTATGTTAAATGTTACAGAACAAAAAAACCATCAGGAAGATCTCTATTGAGATTAATGTTAAATTTCAAAGTGGAATACTTATTAGTGCTAAATATTCAAATTCAGAGCAAATGAGTGAAATTAAGGAGTTCTCTTGTATTTTTCATTATTTATTAGAGGAGGGGTGATATAGCTTTTATATTCTAGTAAAAGTGCTGAATTGTAGTGATACAATAAAGAGGCTGTGCTTTTAGGTTTGTAGTAATTAGTAAATTTTTGATATTCAGTGTTTAGAGCTGTTATTTGTACAGGATCTATGCACAGAATTTTTGATGTATGACAAATAATAATGCTTTTTTGTTGTTGTTTAGTTTGCAGGTCGCAGTAAGAAGGAAACTAAATACTCTTTGAAGGCAGTGGAAGACATGTTAGAGACGCTGCAAATCACTCAATCTTAGGTTGGCGTAGAGATCCCATATTAAATTTTCAAATTCCATGTTCAACCTGTAATGATCTATTGGTTATGTTACTCTAGTGCTGTTGAAAGTAAATTTTGTATTGATTAATGTGCTATCTAAAATAATGTTTTGTGAAAAGTAAGATGCCTATTTATTGCTGCTGTGAGAGATGTGATGAATACCCACTGAAACTAGTAACTTATCCACAAACACAACATAAAGAAATGACATCTGCTGCACATCACTCTCTTTAGATTTTTGTATCTGCAGTACCTGCTTTTAAGCCATAATTTGTAGAAATAAACTTGTTAAATGATTAAAAAAAGAGACTGATTTATTTGACTTGCAAATGGAAATTATGAATTTATATATGTAGATGAATAACATATGTTAGAAATTTTAATCTTATTTGCATATTTAAGAGTAAAAGCACGCTACAGATATACACTTTCTGGTAAATATTTACAATACAGCAAGGAGTGATTAGGAATAAACCGTATTAGAGAAAGAAGTTGATGTTAATGGTTTTATTAATGGGTTGATATCTGGTACTGTAGAAATGGAGAAAACTTATTTGTGTACTTTGCTTCAGAGGGACTCTTGTACTGGCTTAAGGCCAAAGGCATTCTTCTCTGTGGCTTTGTGGGCAAATGCTGCCATGTCCACGTGACTGGCCAGTCAGTATATGCATAGGCACTTTTTTTATTCCCCGAGTGTCCTTTGTTGTACATATGTTCCACATCATGAATTTCAAAACCATCTGAATGCTGGACTGTGTGCTGGTCTGTACTGATTCTGTACCTACAGTATGGGTACCCCTTCGCTGTGGTGTCAGCATTAGCATCTCCACAGTAACCCAGTATTGCGGCACTGGAGGAATGAGATAACTTGTTCGAGTGCCTTGTTCTCACTGCAGGATAGAAGTCTTTTTACATCATTAGCGTTGAAGCATCTAGTCCACTGTAAACCTGTGTTGTATTTGTCTTTAGGTGCTTGTTTATTTACTCAGATAATTAGTAAAACACCCTAAATCATTAATTTTGCAGTTCTGATCGTTCTGGGTGTTGTTCAGATGGGTACTGTGGCAATTCAGTTGCACAGTTATCATTTCATTTATTACAGCTTCAGTAGGATTGCACGATAGCAGCAACATACCCTTGACAAATTATAAACATGTTGTGGTGTCGTTTTCCTGACTGTTACCACGATCCAAGCTGATTTGAGTTTCAGATTTTATACTGTCTCCTCTGTATAGATGGGTAGGTTAAAAGCTGTGTATTAAAATGTCCTTTTTATGACCCTGAACTTGAGGTAATAAAACAAAGCTGAGCTTCTGCTTAAAACCAAAGCAGCAACAAAAACTTCCCCTGTGAGTTCAAAGCTTGAAAAAGTGTGTAACTGAACTGGTTGTTGCATGCAACTGTTCCTCGAAGAAACAGGTAGGATGGCATTCCCATGGTCCATGAAGTAGGTTGGAGTATGATAGTGTGACAGGCTGGATGCTGTGCCATGAGAAATAATTGTATGTGGAATCTTAAATTTACTTAATTCAGTACTGTTGAAATATAAAACTGCAAATGGTGCATAGTATTATATTAAATCACCCAAATCTAACTTGGGGAAATAGTGCAGATCCTTTTGTAATAGGAATTCACAGACTGGCCTCAGAACAGTATTTGCGGATAGATTATGTGTGTTTCAGGTGGAAAATCAAGAAAATCTCATAAGTGAACCTATGTCTTTCTGTTCAGATTTATAGTCTTTTACTGTATGAGTGTGCCATCTAGAGTTTTAAACCCTCAGTCTTTTTTTTATTTTACCTACATCTCAAATAACTTGGTTGCATTCTAAAATTAAAAATAGTGGGAAGCTGTACTGTGGACTAAAATGTCTCAGCAGTGCGTAACATTTTACCTCCAAAGTATTAAAAACCAGCAGTGCAGTATTCTTGTGCAGC